ATTTGCTTTATCTGGTTAGATGTTAGTAAACACAGAAGGTCACTTTGTTCAACATTGAGAAGGCTTGTTTTTCTCCCAGAGGCTCAAACTGGATGACCTCAAGCTGTGAAGCTGTAATGGGTCTCGAGATAAGGGCCACAATGTTAAGTAGGAGGTGTCTAACTCTATTGGCTAATAGTGCCAAAATACTTAATGACTGACTTGTGTTTAACAAATAATATCATCCTGGACCACACCACCATGCCTGTGTCGTTGTTATGGCTACACCCAAAGACAGTGGACACTGTTTGAAAGAACCTTTATGGAAAAAAAGAGAAATGAAGAGGGCTTTTGATCATCCTTAATGTCGTGATGTTACAGAGTGTGTTTTGTGTAGGTCAAACAGTATCCACAATGCAGATCCAAACCGTTAAAGTCAGTGTAAAGAAAATTTAGAGGTTTTTAGAGACTGTGGAGTTAAACCATTAAACTGTTTTTCATAATTTTTGTGTTCAGGATTTTTTGAGTGGGCCTGAAAACACGACTCGATGACACACTAGAGCCACACTTAGCATGACCCTTCCCCTAACACTATAACGTATAATAATTACAGCTTATTAGCATCAGTCTTTTTTCCACTCAATCGCAAAATATCTCTTATTTATTCATAGTATTCAACTGCATTGTTAAAAAGACCACATCGCCATGCGGGTAGGCGAAATGTAACTTTGACTGATAGAGCTTGTCTCATCACCGGTACTGCATCTACAACCCTGCAGGTGGATAAAAACCAAGATAAAATAGACCAGAATGACCAAGAAAAACATGAAAAGATATGTGGACACTTTAAATGCAGTGTTCAGAAAACAGAGAAGACTAGATTGGTGAACTGGATTCTGCACATCTCCAGAGTTCAAAACATTCCTGTTCAAAACAATCTGTGAGGTTTTACAAAAACTAATAAATGTGGCTACCAAAGCTGGCAAAACTCTTAAATAGTAAACTCAAAAATTCTTATTTGCCAGCTTCTCATCTGAATTTTCTGTTCCATCGTAAATGGTGCTGCAGTTAAGCTGAGGTGCCTTAAACGTAGAACGAGTGTCGAACGTTGGTGACTGTGAAGCCAACATCAGCTCACTTCAATAAATGCATCCTTAATCAACAAATACTTAAAACTTTATCTTGGATATGTTTAATGAGCAGCTGACGAGCAGCACAGCAGCCACAGTATCACAGGATTACCCAATCAAATGGGGACAGAATATTTATTATGCTGCATTTCTGGGTTGATGGAATTTGATTTGTTTTTTGTGAGCACTACCACTGGCCAATCAAAATCTGCCAAGCTCTGTGTTATTTTCTAAACCCTCCAGTGACTGCTTAGCAATTGTTGCTGTCCGCAATTGCTTTAGTACCATTAGCAGCGCCCGTCATGTTTGTGACTAGTGTTAGGAAACCAAGGTCCTTGGAAGTTTCTGAAGGGTTTTATGAGATTTATTGTGGAAAAAGTGATGAACCTACACAGTAAGAGGTTCTCAGCAGACCTCAGAACAGCTGTGGTTCTGCCTGCTCTGTTCATCTCTACAAGACGCTACACATCCTTAAGAACCAGAGTAACTTTGACTTCTTTAGATGTTCGGGTATGCAGCACACATGCTATAAGCTAACAAATAACATTGCTATGGTAAAAATGTTTATGAGCAAAATGTACATATTATGCTTGTAAAATGCAAACTCCATTATTCTGGGAGCTTTCACAACAGTGGGGGCTAACTCAGCATGCTTTAGTCTAGTTCCTGTAGCTGCTCAGTTTGGGCTACTGGCTCCGTAGATGGCTGTGTGTTTAGATGAGAAATTAAAGCTGTATTGTTTTTCCTACACATAACATACCACAACCTGCATGAGAAAGTTCACTGTTAACCAGCATATTGGTGATAAAGTATCATGTAGCTAATATTAATAAGAAAACAGAAAGTACATTAGACTGTATTTTGTCTCATTAACTGTATGAGTAGCTGCTGTTCCCATTAGCTGGGGTTTGGTACAGACAGCCGTTTATAACGTATGTTTAATGTGTGCTTTTTCAGTAATCAAGATACAAGCAGAGAGAGAGAGGTAAATAAAATAGTCAGTTTGAAACTATCACTTGATTTAGTGTAGGTTTCAATATGTGTTTTCAGCAGAAAATAATCAGAAATTAAATAAACTTAAATAGGGTAGGAGTGAAATCAGTTTACGGAAGAGTAATAGCAGTTTATGGAAGACTGGAGGGATGGGAAAAGAACAAATGGAAGGAAAAGGTGCATTTCAGTTATGGATGGGTAAAAGGGAGCAAGGATTGGGTAAAAAAAATTAAAGGAGAAACGGTTGGTGTAACGCTCCTATTCGGCAGTTAGTTTGTTCACTATGAGATGTAGATCACATTTCTGCAAAATGGACCTCACTAAAATTCTAATTCTAGTTACAGCCCTGATCCCCACAGCAACAAACCAAATAAAGTCAAGGCAATACACTCAAATACATCAGTTTATAGGCTTTAAAAATTAGATTAGAAAAGTGATCCCCCAAAAAAGTTTGTTTAGGTTATGCTAGCCAGTAAGTGTTGCTAACTTGCATAAATGGGAGAAAAAAAAGCTTCTTTTGCCGACTGAGAATATCGAGGTTGATTCTCGGGTAGGTCAGTGTCCAATAAAGCTACTAGATGGACCAGCCGTTTTTCAGGTCATAGTGGTATTTGACACTTGAGAGGGGGGAAATGGACTGAAAGCGAATTCTTAGTGTTTGTTTCTGTTAAATCGCGGCTAGCGGATTTCAATTCAAGAAAGGCTTTGCTGCTTAACCTAGGTAGTTAGCAGATATGCTAATGTTGGTACGAGGCTGAAGTTGGCTTCTTGTTCGCAAGCTTCTTGTTCAAATTTTCCCGATCCACCTTAAATGGTACAGTATGTACTGCTACATTCTGCTGAATGCAAAGCTTAAATCAGCTTCCTATTGGAATTTTCCTTTTCCACCTTAAATGGTGCTGTAGTTGCATTCTGGCGAACACAAAGCTGAAGAGAGGCTGCACTTTTCCTGCGAGTGAGCATGGTTTCAGTGCCTTCAGCCATCATGCCCCCATCGTTTTAGAGTAGAGAATGCAGCTTATTTTTTTCACTATTTTGAAACCTAATTTTAAATACTTAGTGATTTTTTTTAAATCAGTGAAATTTGGCTGGCAAAATCAGAATACGTATTTCTGACTGCTTCACACAGACTTTCACTGAATAATTTAACAGCACGGGCAGATTTCAGTCTTCTCTGATAAAAGCAACTGATCTGATTTACTTTGTGCTCAGGAGCCTGTGTCTTTCAGTTTTCTTATCCGTAATAATGATTTGACCTTCATGAAGTTTGTACCTCAGGTTGCACGAAATTGTGTCGATGGCCACAGGGCGCGCTGCCGACCAGGAGCTGGCATGCAGAGAGCCGCACTAAGGGGCTCATGGGAGGCACGCGCCCCGGCTGAAAAAAAGGTACTGTTTGTGTTATTTATGTTGCTTGTTCTTTATGTAAGGTATTTGTGTGTTCTAGGTGTTTTATTTTGTCAATGAGTGGGTTAAGTTGGGGTTGTTTTGTGTGTAAAGGGGGTCACTGTCAGGGTAAAGCCTGTGGCTGGTGGTGGCCTGCCCCACAGGTTTGTGTTTGTGAATTTGTTTTTTACTTGGTTGTTTAATAAAGAGCCCTTGTTGTCTCTGTGTCATGTCTATAACTGGTGTTCGTTTTGCATGCTGGTGAAATATGATCATTTTAACATCAACCTGAGCTGTACTGGTAACTCAGAAGGCTGCTGTATGCAAATGAATCTAACAAATCATAAAGTGTGTTTTTCACTCTGCACTGTGACGATCCTGACCAGGTTTTCATGTGGTCCACAAATGATTTCGGGCAAAATGAAATTATTCTTTCTTGGACAGTCTTTAACCCAATCTTATTCAACAGCTACATTTAGTATGACATGGATAAAGACTGATTGGTCTAAAGCTACAGAAGTTACCCGGAAACATGCCCTAACCCAGGGGTGCACAACTCGAGTCAAGCACAGTTTGGAGGTTTCCCAGCTCAAACACACCTACTTAACCTGGCAATTAACGATAAGTATAATCAGCTGTGTTGGAGCAGGTAAATTACTAAACTGTGCTGGACACTGGTCCTCCAGGACCAGAATTGTGCACCCCTGCCCTAACCCCTCACCCAATGAGAGAACAGTCATATTGTAATGCTATATATATAACTTATTCATTAAAATGAAAGAATTTTAATAACAAAATGTAGTGTAAATTTGTTATAAAATACATTTTAAACTTGTTTTGTAACCTGCCTATTTATTTGTTTATGTTTTGTCTTTTGGGCCTTTGATTCACCACAAATTTGTACTTTGGCTCCCTAAGACAAAAAGTTTGGGAATCCCTGGTCTAAGTGATGAAATTTTGTTTAGGAGTAATTTGATTTGTTTAGGTTTATTTAAGTTTGTAATTTTCATACTTTTATTCACAATCAAATTTTGAATTTTGGTTGTGTTTTTTAATCAGTTAGTGACCTAAAGATTGAATTGAATATGAAAAATTAAGAAATTAAGTGATTAAAAACTCACTTTTTAGCCTTGTGGTTTGATTTTAAACATTTCCTCAGAACTGCCCTCAAACAAGTGCAGAAGACATGGCTGCTACAAAATCCAACCCGTTTCTCTCTGTTTCTTCTAAAGATGCTTGGGGTAGTCTGTCCGACTTGGGACCAATATTTCTCTCTTTCTTCATCTCTCTCTCTCACTCTCTGTCTGTCTGTCTGTCTGTGTCTCTTTCTTTATCTGTGTCTCTTTTCTCTCTCTTTCACTTTCTCTCTTTTTTTCTTTCTCCATCTGTCTCTTTTTCTCTGTCTCTCTCTACTCTCTTTTTTCTCTCTGTCTGTGTCTGTCTCTCTGTCTCTCTTTTCTGTCTCTGTCTGCCTCACTCTCTTTCTCTCTCTCTCTCTCTCTCTCTCTGTAGGTGTGCAGGATGATGAGGATGTGAAGGCGATGCTGCAGGGCTCCACCATGCTGAAGGTTCGTTTTCCTCATTGGCAGAGGAGGCGCACACTGAAGCTGCTGGATGATGGCGTCACTGTGCACTGCGAGTACAACAAGAGCTTCAGCAAGCCCAAAACCTGTGAGTCACCATCATCCAGGGGGCCATGGGGGTGCAGAGCAGTGGGGTGGGTGCGTGGGGGGCTGGGAACAGGTCTGTCTTATGGAGTCTTATGTAGAGGAATTGGTTGCTGGAACAGATATTTTTGAAGATAAATAAGCTTCCCGGACAAAAAATGAGTCACTTTGCATGTTTAAGGTGGTAGTGACTTCAGGCTCCTACAGATGGTGTTGGACAAGGATGATTGGGCTATAAATACCTGATGGGTGTGTGGTGGGATTCATAGATTGAGAAGTGGTGGTACAGTGCAGCGAATGTCTTGTTCGATGTGTGGAAAATGGGTCACAAAGCAGATGTTAATGATTAGTAAAAAGGAGTGATTGCATTTGGGCATGGTGTGAAGGAAGTAGTTGAATTTGCTGGTGTATCGAAGTGTATGGTCATACGGGTCTACCATCAGTGGCGAAAATCCCAGTCTACATGAAATTCTCGTCGTAATTGTGGTCGAAAGATGAAACTGATAGACAGGAACTGCTGGCGTGTTTCACGGCTTTGCTTTCTTGAAGTCGACACAGGTCCTTCACAACCAAGTTCTGAAAGAACACTCCGCAGGGAACTGCATACCATGAACATATGGAGCAAAGTGGCACACAAGAGGCATTTGCTCACTTCTGCTCACAAAGTTGCCTGGTTACAGTGGGCGAAGAGACACATAAATTGGACTGTTCATGACTGGAAACGTGTTATCTGGTCAGAAGAATCTCGTTTCTACCTGTATGTGAATGATGCTAGGCGCCATGTTCATTGTATACCTCTTCAATGAGGACTGTGTGCAAGGTGTGGTTCAAGCTGGAGGAGGCTCTGTGAGATTTTGGGGGTGTTTTAATTATGTGGAAATTGGTTGAGGTGACAGTAAATTTGAACCACAGTGCCTTCATTGAGCTGCTGGGCAACCAGGTTTTGCCGTTTGCTCATCTTCTTACCGAGAAACATAACATTCCTCTCCCTGTATTCCAAGATGACAGTTCTCACGTTCACAGGGCTGCAAATGTGACTGATTGGCATGATGAACATTCGGAAGCGTTCACACATCTGGACTGGACCACAAAATCCCCAGATTTGAATCCTCTTGAAAATCTGTGGGACTACCTGGAACAATGAGTAAGACGCCAGGGAAGGCATCCACGAAATCTGGCCGTTCTGCCCAATTCTTTGATGCAAGAGTGGCTTAACATTGATGTCCCCTACATCCAGAAACATGTCCAGTCCATGCCAAATCGAATCGCAGCTGTTATTCATGCTTGCGGAGGTATTACACGCTATTAGGTTTGTTTCAGTCACAGGTGACAATTTTTTTTTTCACCAATGCATTTTAATACTACTGCCAAACAACTGCAGTCATAATAGCAATAGCAATACAATAGTAATTAGGGCTGTTGAGCAATTAAAATAATTACCATAGTTACCTGTATTATTTTATATATTTAATTATGATTATTCACATTTGTTTATTCCACGTACCAAGAGCCAGTTTCTGCTGCAGGGGCCTAGGCCACCAAGGGCCCCCCTGCAATCTCCCACTGCCTGTACGGCACTGCACCACTCCCCCATGCTGGACCTTGCGGGTGGTGGGCCCACATGGCCCGGCCGGGTTACGTGGGCTGCCCGGCCACCAGGCGCTCGCCGAGGGACGCTACCCCCAGGCCTGGCTCCAGGGGTAGGTCCCGGTGACCCTCTCCCGGGCAGGGTACACGATGTTCTGTGTCCATTTTTCATGGAGGTTTTATGGTCATGAGCTGTGGGTAATGACCGAAAGAATGAGATCACGAATACAAGCGGCAGAAATGAGCTTTCTTCGCAGGGTGGCGGGCTACACTCTATTTGATAGGGTGAGGAGCTCGGCCATCCGGGAGGAGCTCGGAGTAGAGCCGCTACTCCTCCGCATTGAGAGGAGCCAGCTGAGGTGGTTCGGGCATCTGATCCGGATGCCCCCGGGACGCCTCCCGGTGGGGGTGTACCAGGCACGGCCTACCGGAAAAAGACCCTGGGGTCGTCCTAGGACCCGCTGGAGGGATTATATCTCCAAGTTGGCCTGGGAGCGGCTTGGGGTCCCCGGAAATGAGATGGAGGAAGTTGCGGGGGACAGGGTCACCTGGGATTCTCTGCTCTCCCAACTGCTACCGCGACCCTATCTGGACTAAGCGGTTAACGATGATGATGATGATGATGACATTTGTTTATTTACTCAATTTGACCCTAAATAAAGATTTTTGTCCATTAAAAAGCAGGGCAATTTGTTACAGCTCTAAGTGGGGAAAAAAAAAGTCATCAAAATTTTACACATAAACTTGAAAGTAAAAATCACTTGATTTTCATAGGATGAGCATAGTTTTTATCACAAGCATCTTTTGGGAGTAACAGTGGCTGCGTTTTCCAAACAATGGATGTGTGTGTCATATGTATCATATACAGTGAGGTGAAACAAGTATTTAAACACTTTTTTTGTCATTTTATATACATCCTGTGCATACAGTGAGGTCAAAGTCTACCACTAATTAAAATGCTTCAATTTTGCATTCCTTTCTAATTTAACAGAAAGATTTTCATTAAAGATTCTATCAGCATAACAATTTGAGTGAAAAATCTTTCAAAATGTAACAGGAATTTCAGAATTGCTTAGTATTTGATATGTCCTTCTTTTGCTTTAATGACAGCATGCACTAAAGTTAGCATGAACTCCACAGGTGCAAAAGCCTCTGATAAGTAGATCAGATGCACCTGAGATTGATCTAAATATGAGCTTCACTGGAAGAGATAAAAAGAGATCACTAAGAAGAGATACAAAATATGATAATAGCTGTTTGTACAAAAGTCTTCACATAGTCAGTGTCACAAATTTGCTCTCATTTGAATAGTGATCTATGAACAGTTCAGAATCCTGAATATACCCTCTTAACTTGTTTCATTTAACCCTCCTATTATCTTTGGGGTCAATTTGACCCTATTCAGTGTTTAACATCTCTAAATAAATGATTGAAAATCACTTTTTGTGTCTCATATTTAATGACTTTTTTATGTTTTCACTGTCCTGTACACATTTTGTATGCACTAGTGTTCTTTTGGGGTCAATTTGACCCCTGGCTGTTATAGCTAAATAAAACATACAAATTTTACACACATTTATGTTTTTTGTTTTGGATGATATTGAGGCGACTATAACATGCAACTTTATAATCTTCCCTCTGCTTTAGGATTTTGAACTTTCTGTACATGTCTAAAAACTGTAAATGCCAACAACGGCTTTGCATCAAAGTACTAATATTATGAATTTGTAGTGTCTGAAAACTTTTGTCAATTATGTCAATTATGTTTTTTAAACATACACTATATGGACAAAAGTGTTGGGACTAGAGTTGGGCAATATGGCCAGAAAGGTGACCACGATAAACAAAATTCATTCGTTCGGTATCGATACATATTGCGATAAATGTCAAATCATTATTTCTTTTAAGTTTGAAGGCTGATTTTTGCTCCTGGGTGGTTAATTGCTGTTTTAAACTATCCTGTCTGGTCGGAATAGTCATAATATAAGAAAAAAAGATTATTTTTAGCTGTTTGGTGACGAGTGCTAGGCTATCCTGTTACAAATGCTAAACAAGTGGCCAACAACAGTGCTAAACTGTTTAGTTTCTCAACAACGTCAGTTTAGTACGAACAGCGAACATTAGCTGGCTCGATATGTCAGTGATGGATCACACTGCCTTACTGCCATCACTCCTACCACATCCATGTCAGAGTATATCACAGTATTCAGACACCAGCTAGCAGATGACTGGATTTCCCTATTCTATCGTAGTAGTTTGAGGGGTGAACCGCAAAATATCAACACCAGACAAACGGAGTCCTCCTTTTAGGTACGTTTAAACTGAAAGTGGTGCTTTTGTGTCTTGTTTGATCTACAGTATCATCAATTCTCCGTGTTGTGGAGTGACGGAGCGCTGCTTCAAGTTAGCCAGCTGCTAATAACAGCTAGCCTGGAAAGATAGTGATTTAACGCCGCTAAAGCTTGTTAGGATGTTAGGAAAAAGATGAGTTCACTTTAGGAGAGTATAGTTACGCCACTGATCTCGTCACTCACACTTGGTCATGGGAGAACAGTCGCTCCACTCAAACAGGGAATATATAACTCCACGTTTCACATGTTGCTAAAGATTCATTTTATTCTCTATTCATGTCGAAAACTCAGAAGTGCGCCCTCTCCTGCGACACTTTCCTTGCAGTAGAAAATGCCACCAGGGCTTTCATTAGAACATGGAAGCGCGTGAATGGTGAATTATATCGAAAATTTATCGAACCTTTCTTATCGCTCTATCGAGGAAAAGTAATATCGCGATAATTATCGTTAACGTTTTATCGCCCAGCCCTAGTTGAGACATGTATACATTACACCTACAGAAGCTTTTATGACCCCCCATTGGTCCCCCCTTTGCAGCTATAACAGCTTCCACTCTTCTGGGAAGCTTTTCTACAAGATTTTGGAGTGTGTCTGTGGGAATTTTTGCCCATTCATCCAGAAGAGCATTTGTGAAGTCAGACACTCTCAATCTCCATTCTAGTTCATCCTAAAGGTGTTAGACAGAGTTAAGGTCAGGGCTCTGTGTGGGCCAGTCAGGTTCTTCAACACCAAACTCACCCAACCATGCCTTTATGGACCCTGCTTTGTGCACTGGGACTTTTATGCAATATGCACCTCAGCACTCAGTGACTGTGCTCTGTAACTTTACACGGTCAGCCACTTCGAGGTTGAGTTGATGTGGTTCCTAAATGCTTCCACTTTTCAATAATACCACTCACAGCTGATTGTCAAATATCTAGGAGGGAAGAAATTTTGTGAACTGACTTGTTGCACTGATGGTATCCTATTACAGTACCTCGAATTCAATGAGCTCTTTTGTGCGACCCATTCTTTCACAAATGTTTGTAAAGGCAGACTGCATTCCCAAGCAACAAAAGTGAAAGAAAGAAGTGGGTTCATGTTCGTTACAGCCCTGATTTAAAAAAAAACTGAGGAAGCTGTGAGGCATTGGAGAGCAGGAGAGCACTATCTTTCCAGGCTAGCTGTTTTTAGCAGCTGGCTAACTTGAAGCAGCGCTCCATCACTCCACAACACGGAGAATTGATGATACTGTAGATCAAACAAGACACAAAAGCACCACTTTCAGTTTAAACGTACCTAAAGAGAGGACTCCGTTTGTCTGGTGTATATTGCAGTTCACCCCTCAAACTACTACGATAGAATAGAGAAATCCAGTCATCTGCTAGCTGGTGTCTGAATACTGTGATATACTCTGACATGGATGTGATAGGAGTGATGGCAGTAAGGCGGTGTGATCCATCACTGACGTCCCGAGCCAGCTAATGTTCGCTGTTCGTACTAAACTGACGTTGTTGAGAAACTAAACAGTTTAGCACTGTTGTTGGCCACTTGTTTAGCATTTGTAATGGGATAGCCTAGCACTCGTCACCAAACAGCTAAAAATAATCTGTTTTCTGTGTTATATTATGACTAATACAAAAACTGCGGCCGTGCTTTTCTAGCTGATAAAAACAGCTCACCAGGCACTGTCTCCCGCTCTCTCATGACAGATTTGTGAAATGTTCCACTGTTTGGCGAGTGTTTGTCGTGTTCCGACCATACAGGGTAGTTTAAAACAGCAATTAACCACCCAGGAGCAAATATCAGCCTTCAAACTTGAAAGAAATAATGATTTGATGTTTATGCGATATGTATCGATATCGAACAATATGAATTTTGTTTATTGTGATAACATTTTTGGCCATATCGCCCAGCTGTACCTTTGCCAATGGGACTGAATGAAACACCTGAATTCATTGATGTGTATTGTGGAGGCTCTCAAGAGTAACAGTAGCTTTGCACTTCGCTCTTGCTTTTGTTAGTATGCTGCTGGTTGATTTATCCACAGGTCTTCCCCAAGCACAATCCAGCATATTCCGCCAAAAGTGTTGCTTTACAAGCCTTTTAAAAGCTGTATTTGAGTGAGAGAGCTACAATCACATGCTCTATCATAGCAACATACAGCACACAGACATCCTACACTACCATGAAGAATTTGAAGGGTACGATTTAAACTATGAACTAGGCACTATTTGATGCAAATCCAATCTGTACTTGAACTGGGACAAGCTGTGGGTGAAGAAAGGAGATTATTGTTATGGAAACAGATGAGAGATGTTGAGGAATTTAACTTGGACATTGCTTCACTGGACAGCAGTGCAGCTCTCTAAAGCTGCAGTGTGAGGGCTTCTTTCAGAAAGGTGGATAATATTTAAATATACCTCCTAATTATGGCTGTTTAAACACCCTACTGTCCAGGTCTACTGACCTCAGCCCCATCTATCATTCCAGGCCTGGTCTATCTGTAGTGCATTTGTATCCCTCCCTGCCCTGTAAACTGCACTAAACATTGTAATTATAGGCCATGATGGGGTGGAAAGAGTGTACGAGTATGTCCTTGGGTTTGGGTTGAATTAAATAAATATGAGCAAATATCAGGGAATTTCCTGTGGTACAAGTTGTCTGTGAACAGGGCCTCTTCTCTATTCATTATACTTCCATTTTTGTTATGATGTCCAAGTTAAACAACTGTATTTGAATAGTTAACACACAGGCAGCATTATACAGCAAATATGGGACATTTTAATAATTCGTGATGAATATGTTTGGGCTGTCTCTGGAAGAATTTAGAACGCAGTAAGCAAATACAGAGGTGTACACAGATTATCAGTGAGATAATCACTGATCTTCCATTAGACCAACTTCAATAAGCAGTTGAACACCATTTTCCAGTGTTTGCTCACTGAACACCTATATCAAAAAGGGGAATAATGTAAGACCTTGTTGGAGTTAACTCATTTGTTTACTTATTTGTTTACTTATCTCTGTATTTGTGAGCTTGCAAATACATTACTGGTACAAATGTGGTTACTTTTTCAGTTTTGTCTGTTTTTCTGTCAGTTTTTTTACTGTACTCATACAACTCTTTTCTTAAATTCTCTTTCCCTCACAGTCTCAGTGATGGACGTAGTGTCAGCCAGCTTGCCACATGAGCAGCGTTTGACCATTGTGTTTAAGGGTAAACAGAAGACTTTGGACCTGCAGTGCAACAGCAGGGAGGAAGCGCAGCACTGGGCCCGCGGCATCCATACCCTGCAAAGGAGAAGAATGAATATGAGCCAGGCTCAGAAACTCAACAAATATCCTTCAGTAGCACTCATCCTGACAATTCAGCCATAACATTGTGTGTTTCTCCAACCATCTATACATACAGCATTGTGCAAAAGTCAGAGACAGCCCTTTATTTATTTAATTTCCAGTCAAAAGTATTAAGTATAAGTACATTTTCCAGGAGATATTACTGAGAACACTAGATATAAGATAATCCACTTACATGTGGGTGAAAGTTCAATAAATAAAAAAATGAGTTTGCAAAACTGTAGATGTTTAAAACTATAGAAAAAAATAGGACTCATAACGATGCAAGACCTGGTAGACCATCAAAACTGTCACTAGGGCTGGATGGTAAATCATGTTTTTATCGTTATCTCTATATGCGTTTCCGCCATAAACACATTGTTAGAGTGGCAATGACAGAACAGATCTAATTACTTTATACACCGAGCGCCAAAGAGACGTCATTGCATTACCGGTGTTGTGCCTAATCTCACATCCCTGTCCTGATCTTACTTCCCCTCCAGCCAGCTGCACCAGCTGAATGTACATTCAATCGAAAGTTGGGGTGTAAATCCATCCTAAACCTTACGTTGAGAGTAGTTAGTTTAAAACTAACTTTTGGTTGCACCTTACAGTACAACTTGTAGAGCATAAAGTGACCATAGATCAAAACACTATTGCACAGAATGACGTTTTCATTCTCTGTAGCCAATCAGTAAACGCTACTCGACATAAACAGGAAATATTACACGCATGATCTCCACTTGCAGTGAAATGGCTAGCATTTCTCTCTTTTCGTGGCACGTTTACTTTAAGGTATGTCTGTGGTATTAGTTTTAATTCAAAAAGTAAAAGGCCTTTTACCAATGAACGGTTGGTAACCTTAGCAAAGCTGCGGCCAAACCAAACTGAGATGTATTTCATTTTTTGCAAGTTTTTCCATTGATTGCTTCGACTAGCCATTTTAACTGAATTTTACAGCAGAACTTACACCTACTATAGGGTACGTTGAAACTATGTTACTTGGTGCAACCGGTTAATTAAGCAATAGATCACGAGAGGGAGTGTGTTATTCGCGATAACACACAACCTTGAGTGTTCTATTGCTTTGATACAACAGTTAAATAAATTAAATAAGAAATAAATAAACTGGGCCGTGAATGTGGCATTTAATGTTTATTGTTAGCAATTTCTTTCCACCAAATTATAGTTCCTTAAGCAGCTTGTTGCTACGTCACAGTAACGAGCTCCGCTAAGCAGTTCGTTCTCCAGCTCCTTACGCTAAATTCCGAAACTGTCATTACCACTGTGCAGCTTTTCAGTCGGTAGCTGTGGCAGAAGAAAACCTAAACAACCTGGAATTAGCCAGAAATGAACTGAATACCAAATGTATAGTCTCGTCTTCAGAGTCTGACCAAATCGGACTGAGCCACAAAACCGCCGCAATATCAAGTGTAGCTCAGTTTTGTCAATTTTTGCTAGATCAATATCAATGTTGTTTTGTTCCAGCCAGTCTGTAAAGCATCTTACAGCCCATTTTGTTTGGTGAATGGTATTCGGTTCATTTCTGGCTAATTCCAGGTTGTTTAGCTGTTCTTCTGTCACAGCTGCCGACTGAAAATGTTGCTCAGTGGTAATAACAGTTTCGGAATTTAGTGTAGCCTCATCTTCAGAGTCTGACCAAATTGGCTGTCAGTCAAATGTAATCTTAAAAGTATTCTTTATCTGTTTGTAAGAAGTAAAAACGTTCAAATGGCTCGAGCATCTCCTACAGCTGTCATAGTCGTTGCTTAGCAACAGCATCTCAGCGAAGTGATACGGTGTTTGTGAAAAAACTGTGCTGTTATGGCGAAATATCAGCACGGTTAGAACGCTCAGCTTGCATGGCTGGAACTAACTGTTGTATAAATTCTAGCAGCTTGTAAACTTAGAAGCAGTTTACGTTCAAACTCGGCTACAATTGAGTTTGCTTACGTTCAACTGGTGCAACTGGCTGCTGGTTTCCACTGTGTATCCACAGTGTTAATGGATGAATCATATGGATGAATCACTGCCATCAATCAACAATTCTGAGAGGAATCTCAAAATGCATAGGTAGATATGTATGTGCCTGACTTTTTGTAAACTTAAATATATTCGTAAACAAACGCAACAAAGCTAGCACACAACTGAATTAAAACAGTGACACAGTTTACAGTTAACAGTACTGGCTTGCTTGATAATGAAAACGTGCTAACTTGCTAATTCTGGCTGGGGCTCCTTGGGAGGTGAAATCAGAACGGGGATGTGAGATTGGGCTTCACCTCGGCACAAACCATTACAAGCCTCCTTCACTGCACAGGGACTGAACCCTACTCTCCCACGTGGGAGACAAATAACTTAACCATTCAGCCAAACGGCCAGCTACAAAGACGCACACTCAGAGACCTTAAAATATTGGCTTAAAATATGAAATCAGCTTTGGAAATTCGGCTTAAAATTGTGTGCAGCAAAGGTGCAAACACACAACACACAGGCTAGCTCAGGCTCTACTGTTTTCCTGCTAGCCAGCTGTGCTATTGAAGCTTGCTACCTTACGCTCCTCAGAGTCCTTCAAAATAAGAGTCCCAGAACAACTGAGAACACTGTGCCTAACTACACTCAAACAAAAGCAAGAACAACATTATTTTTGATCTAAATACAACCCGACCAAGCATGACGATATTTAATAAAGATATTTAATAACTAAACAAAAAAAATGTAAACTAGACTATGTATTTGGTATTGTGTGCCTAAATAAAAAATAAATATGTATTTATTTGTTTTTGTAGTCTTTATAGAAAAAGCTGTAGAGATAATGCTGACTGTTTTGCAGTCCTTCAGTGCACAAAAATATGCTTGCAGTTTTGATGTAAGTAGTTGTTAGTATTTCATTTCTTTTTATTTTAGAGAATAGTAAACGGTGCTTTTGTAATTTTGTATTTTGCTGTTTGTTTAAAGAGGGGTTTAAAAAGAGGTTAGTTATATTTCTGTTCACACATCAAAAAAAATTGTCTGCACTTGCGTTACATCCTGCCAGAGACACAGTATTTTAATAGTAGTCTGTTACTTCTCATATTGTCATCGTGATATCCGACTGCTATATCGAACATCGCATTTTATGTCAATAGCATGCAGCCCTTTCTGTCATCTTCAGATACAGCACTAAAAGCTTTCATCTTTGAGAGATAGGAGACAATTAAGCTTCACTCTTGTTTCAGAACAGATGTTTCTATCCATCCTTCCACTGTGAGTAGACAATTCAATGCTATGGGTCTGAAAGGATGCGTAGCTGTCAAGAAGCTTTACTGAGAAAATAAACAGACAAAGACAAAAATTTACAAAGTTGCTGTTTTTCTCAGAACAGTGGACAGGTCACCCCAGACCTTATCACTAAATGTTTTTGGGGTCATTTGGGTTGTGAGAAGCAGAAAATGCAACCAACTTCTAAGACTGAACTTTGGAGATGTGGAAAAAGATCCCTGCAGATTTCTTTGAAAAACTGAAAACAAATCTAAATAATGAAACATTTGATATTATAATTAGTTGTTGAGGCTCCTCTTATAATGTTGGGTATGTGTAGCAGAAGAGAGTGGGTGGAGCCAAGGAGAGTCCAACTGGGAACTGGCTATGGAGCCATCCATTGGCCTGGCACAGACGGAGCAGCTCTGGGAGCCATCACAGGAGGAGCAGTCCAAAAACCTGGCACTGGAACACTACAGGGAGCAGTTCGGGAAGCCAGCGTTAGATCAGAATGGCAACCAGAACTGGAGCAGCCAAGAGGACTGGAACAGGAGCCTTGCATGGAGCTGGCACAGGAGCCCTGGGTGGAGGAACTGGAGCAGCCTGGGGAGCAAGAACGAAGAAAACACGGGGGGTGCAGGAACTGGAACAGACAGGGAGCGCAGGAGCAGAGTCAGCTCCAGTTGTGATTGCCACCCCAGGAGAGATGGCTAGAGAAACCACCAATGACTGGTCTTGGTTAACCCCCACAGGCATGGCAGAACGGGGTGACATGATGAAGGCAAAAGTCTCAGAAGCTCTGGGCAGTGGGCCAAAAGCAGACTGGAAGAGTCTCCAGGGCTTTTTCAATGAGAGAGCCAGCTCACTATGTGAGGCCACTTTAGCTTCCTCAGACTGGAGTGACAAATAGCAGAGGCACTTACCCATGAAGTCCCTTCACAGCTCCAGCTCTGTGTATGAGAAGCTGGGGTGTGCTGGCAGTGTGGAGATAGGCTTGATGGTGGTCAGAGGTTTGAAGCCACTCACTGCAGTCCTGATCAGGTTGCAAGTGCAAAATGGCTTTGTTTGGGGTAAGCCAACTATCTTTGTCAAGACAGGCAAGGGTCAGAACACAGGCAGGCATGATTAAAGAAGTATCCATAATCAAAAACCAGACAGACAATGCAAAGGTCAAAACACAGGAAAAAACTAACACAAAGAAAACTGAGAGAGACTTTGCAACAAACAGGTAAAAAAAGGGGGTATATATGGGAGTCTTACATGTCCATGAAGTGAGCTATAGGTGTGTATAGTGGAGAGGGGGTGGAGCCAGGAAGAGTCCAAGTGGAGTCTCTCCAGAGAGAAAAGATATCATGACAAAAATGAGTAACTTGTATGGCCGTTTTTTACTGGAAATTAAATAAGTGAAGGGTGGTCTCTGACTTTTGCACAGTAGTGTACCATGGGTTGTTAGCAGCGTTTATATATTTAACACAACATTGATCTACTGCAATGAATTAATTCATTCATTTAATTCGGTTCAATTGAACTTTATCACTGAGTGGTAATTTGTGACTGGCAAGTACATTACACATACAATAATAAAATAAATAAACATAAAAAACACAAAACAGTCAGACACAATAGACGCATAAATATTCTGTCCATTGAAGCTGTTTCCCCAGGGCGAGCAGCATCGTTACATTTTCTATCACTGATATTCTACAGTGGTAGCAACAAAGATGCCGTCCAGAAGGGCACTCAATAAGATTTCTAAGAAAATAACATTGATTTGCTTGTTCTTCCTCATTATCATTAAGGTTTAGATTGCTTGATGTTTATATATACAGTTATTTATATTTTACTCAACACTTTATTCTGCCAACTAAAGTCAACATTTCACACTTCGGGTGTTTTTGCACATCAGAAGACTTTTGTATTAACCCTTGATTCCTCACACCTGGATCCAGACATACCTAACAGAGGCAGATTTAAACCATGATGGACAGATGACATATGATGAAGTGCGGACACTCCTTCGAAAAATCAACTTAGACCTGAATGAGCAGTACATCATGAACCTGTTCAAGGTTAACTTTCTCTTACTGCTTTTTATTAGAAATGCACAAGGGCTGAGATGATCATGACTACACTGACAGACAAGCCATAAATTTACTTGATTCAAATGCGTACATCATTGGCACAAGCAGTTAAACTGAAAGATAAAACTGATACATGCCCACATGAGCCAAAACATTATGACCACATTATATGCCAAATGTGCTGCTGGGTCTCAGCCTGCCACCAAAACAACTCAGACCCACCAAGGCATGGACTCTACAAGACCTCTGAAGGTGCCCTGTGGTATCAATTAGGAGCAGATCCTTTTAGTCCTATAATTTGCAAGGTGGTTGCGCTGCCGTGGACTAGTTGTTCCAGCACATCCCACAGATGCATACTTTGAACTCTTCATCATGTTCCTCAAACCATCACCAAACAATGGGCCTCATTCACCAATATCTTCTTAAGTTTTTTCTTAAATTAGTTCTTAAAGAAAGTTCTTAAGAAAACGTCTGTGTCCGATTCATGGCGTGTTCTTAAACCACAGAATTGTTTGCACCTTTGTGCTCTTGAGTGTGTATAGATTTTGTTCTATTTTGTATTTTGTAAGAAATCATTGGTGTATGTCAGAATCTTAGTAAAAACTCTGTAAGTGGGTTTTAAGAAGAATTTTCTTCTTCAGAATGGTTGGTGAATGAGGCATAAGGTCTGCAGTGTGGCAGGGTGCATCCACCTGCAGCCACCTTACGGAGCAGGGTGCGATGCACTGTGTTGGGACACATTCCTCCATAACCTTCATTAAAAATGTATATGACTAGTGCCACAATAGCCCTTCTGTCATTTCGGATCAATAAGCCTTGCTCACTCCCCTCCACTGGTTTGTGGTTTGTCTCTCCTTGGACTATTGTCAAAAGGTGCACAGGCCTTGCCATTTTGGATCCCTCATGCCATCATGATCTGGCTTTTGTCCGAGTTGCTCAGGTCTTGATGTCTGCCCATTTCTCAAGAAATCAAGTATGAGAACCGACTGTTCACTTACCATCTAATCCCAGACCTTGCCCAGAGCTTGACGTGCCATTGTTAGGAGACAATCAGGGTTATTCGTTTCATCTGTGGTAATAATGTTTTGGCTCAGTGTTTGTATAAAATGATTCTGATTGGCTAGTTCTGTGCTACTTAACAGGTTTCAAATTATTAGGACATTAAAGAGCTGTAAATAAAAATGAAGAATTGTTAGATGTGTCAAGAGTGATGAACAGAGCTGTACAAAATTCTAAAATGACTGAGAAAGCTGCATAACATCAAGAATTAAGTTAATATCCAAAATTGGTCAGTATAAAATTACAGTAATTTATTCATAATTCTGTTAGCTTTTCTGTAGTAATTCATTTAATTATAATACTTTTTATTTAGTTTGTAGTTTATTTAAATCCGTATTGTATAAGTTGATATCGTATGTGAAATAACAAAAAATGTTAAGATCACCATATATAAATAGTACTGTTTAGTTTTTTTGTGTGATACAGTACCTTACTGTTTTTTTAGGTTAGTTAAAGCTCTTGGAAGTTGCCACATTCTAATATCTGTAAGTAAATCACTATTATAGCTGGCTAGTTATTCTGACTGTTAAAGAAATTGGGCAGTGTATGTTTATTTCTTTCCTTTATGGCATTTTACAGTTTTTACATAGTCTTAGACCAACTGTATCCATTGATATGCAACAGAAGTGTGACCAGTCAGCGAACGGTTGTCTCGATGAGGAAGAGATTGAGCAGTTTCGTCGTGAGCTGTTGAATCGTGCTGAGCTGGACGAAATTTTCCATCAGTACTCCTCTAACGGCCATGTGCTGTCCACAGTGGAGCTGCAGAAATTCCTGAATGACCAGGGAGAGGACAACACACTTGTGCATGCGCAGAGCCTCATCCTAACAAATGAGTTCGACAAGCAGGGTATGATTAACAACTTGCTTTATTATATGCTCTCAAAAACAGCCTCTGGGCCAAATTCATAAAATGCAATGCCAGATTTACTGTGATGTTAAGAGCAAATAACAAGGTGATAACACTTTGATCCATGTTGATGGTAATTTCCCCCATAAACTGATTGCTGTTGTAGGAGAACACAAGGAGGTGGAAGACTTGCCTAAGCAGGATTTCATTCATGTGGCAGATTTAACTGCCACCGGCCTCATCTTCCTGTGTCAGATTCGTTGTTTCACAAATTCCATGTTTTGTGAATTCCCATCCTGTGTATAGAAAGTAGTTTTGGTTTATAATCCAAACAATTGAAGAGTAATTTGACATGTTGAGATTCTAACTACATGTTCAAATTGATTATAAGCAATTTTAGCTTGTAATCTCTTTTTTTTCAGTTCATGAATTCATGAATTTTACAAAGGAAATCAGTTTTCACATATAAAAATAATACACTTACTGGAAAAAATGCATTTCTTACAAGTAAAGGCAGAATTTAATAGCTGAAATTTTACTTGTAGTTTTAAAAGTAGTTTGTAGTAATAAAAGTAGTTTTATTTTCACATGTACAAATAAAATTCCTGAGATCAAGAAAAATATTAATAGCCATAGTAATTCGTTTCAGCATGTTAGTTTTATTTTTTATTGTGTGGACAAAGAATTACCGCATGTTGAACTTTAGATCATGCTAGTTTGTTACTGCAATTATAATGAATTGGAAAAAAATCTTGAATTTTTACCAAAGACAAAATAAAATCTTATGCTAATATGTAATTTCTACTATGAAAAGTTGAATTTTAAGATGTTATAATCTTTGATCAGCACTTAAGACACAGGTAAAAATAATGCAGGGTTAATAGGACACCGTGCGTTAATCACCACCATGGTAACTTTATGAATAGGTCTTATTTACCCTGCAGCACATTTTGTGTGGCATAGCACTGTTACCACAGAGTTTTATGAATGTGGCCCAATGTTGTGTTTTACCTTTACGCTGTTCTTGATTCAATCAGTGTTCTTTGATTACAGTCCAGCAGGGCCGCACCACACTGTTTTATTGCACATAGTTAGTATATGAAGAAAGATTTTTAGCTGATCATAAAAAATTCTGTTTTATCCCTGCTTGACTGTGCACGGCTTGGCCCTCTAGGACTGGAAGTGAAGGCTATCGTTCTCTAGCCTTTCACTAACCAGTTAAACAAATATGAAGTTTCTGTAAATAATTGCTTGAGTCCATTGGTGTATATCCTAAAAAACAATGTGCTTTCACATAGTCCTATTAAATATGCCAGCAATGTCATTTTAACCTGTTATTCTAAACTATAAAATGGATCATTTTTTTATATTTTATTTTGAATAATAACTTACAGTGTATATTTAATGAGCTGAGCTGCTGTCTTTGGCTTTACATCCACAAGATGGACCAAGATGGGTGTGTCTAACAGAGTGGACAGTGAGTGGATACAGTGTTTAAAAACACTGAGCCTTCCCTTTAGATAATAAATTATCTGCTTGTTTTGAAATTACAGTTATCCTACAGACAATGCAAAGGTCTGTAGGATAACTGTAGGTCCTATTTGAAGTAAGCACAGTGCTTGCAATGCAAGAAAGTATTAATAAAAGCTCATGCTAAAATGTTTATAGTGTAAAGTTAGAAGCAATTACTTCACACTATTATGTATAATGCCTCTTGGTGTCAATTTAATTATATGTGAATTTAAATTGTATAAAGTAGAATAAGTAAACAAAAAAGAAAAAAGTAAACAATTACAGAATATAAAGAGGAAAAATTAAGAAAAACAGGAAAAAGACAGAGTTAATATTATAACAGTAGTTGATAGTTACACCTTTACTCTCATTTGTAATAGCTTCTGCCATCTTGTGGAGAAACATCATAACCACCTTTGTCAAAAATAATGTTCCAGGAATGTGCCATAGAATTTAAGTGTCAAATAAAAAAAGAAACAAGACAAAATGGAAAAGAAAGTAAGAAAGGATGGAAATGAAAAAAGAAAAAGAGAAAAAAGAGAAAGAAAGAAAAAGAAGAAGAAACACAAAAGAAGAAAGAAAAGGAAGATGAAAAAACACAAGAAGAAGAAAAGAAAGGAAAATAAAAAGAAACAAATAATGAAAGAAAGAAACAAACAAACACAAACAAAAAATAAAAGGTAAAGAACAGAAAGAAAAAAGAAAGATGGAAGATTAGTTTGTAAAGCCATAAAAAGGCTGAAAGTAAGAGCAGTGTACAGTAGAGGCACTTTAAACAAGCTCAGCCAATCAGCTTCAAACACATTATGATATCATCAACTCTGGCAACTGTGAGAAGACACTTTCATACAAATCCACAGGAAAATTATTTAAATCTAAAATATTGTTTGAAGGTATGCAAGTTATTAAAATGAAAAATGGATGGAACACATCTCTCAAATTATCTACAAAACAGTGTTTGAATGAAGTTAAAGCAACATTATATAACAATTTTACCTCAAAGTAACAGCTTCAAAATCATTTTGATGGTACACTGACTTATAATAGTGAGAATGCCGTCTCTGTCATTGCCACTCCAGGCCTGGACGCCTGCTATAGCACTTTGTAACTTTGGAGGAGTGGGCATGAAACCTGTCACGAGAACTGCATAATGATTTGTAGCACCACGTCACACACCAACAGCTCAGCTAGCTATAAGAAGAAGTTAGTCGTACAAGATAGAGGCTCCTCCTGTTGTGCTTAAAAAATTAGGATAATTTGGTAGGAAAATCAAACAGTGCATATAGTTATATTAGTTGCAAAAGGCTGTTCTTGTTATCTGCTTGGCCAAACTTTAAAGACGGTTTTGAGAAAATAGACTTAGCTTAGAGAAAAGGAATAAAGAGCCATCAGCATTAAGCAACTTTATGATCAACAACTTTCTTTGTGGTAAGGATAAAATAATAGGACAATGTGTTGCTCATAAAACTGTATACACTGCGATTCCATATGATGACAGAGAGATAGATCTTTTTTGAGTAAGATATCCAGGAAAATTGACTTCCAAATGTTCTGTGATGAAGATATTAGTTACGCTGAAATTAAGGAATGTTTTATGTCCGTTAAAGACAATAAATCGCCTGGCAGTGAAGTCTTAAATAGGGAATTTTATAAAGCTTTTAGTGCACAACTGTTTCTATTTGTAAAAGCAATGTTCATGGAATCTTTAAAAAATGAAGAATTACCTGCATCCTAAAACAAGGCTTTATAAAATTACTTCCCAAACCAAATAAAGAAAAATAATATACAGAAAATTGGAGACCAGTTACTCTGTTAAATAATGATGCAAAGTTGTTTCCTTTAGTTTTTGCCTAAAGATTTAATTTAAGGCACTGGACAATATAATTGATGAGGAACAATCTGTTCCTATGAACTGATGACATATTAGCAACAATATTAGGCTTATATTAGATATGATTGATTATAATAATCTTATATCAGATGCAGGATTACTTATGTTTATTGATTTTAATAAAGCATTTGATATGGTGAGCCATAGACTTTTGTTTAAAAGTATTCAGACCTTTGGTTTCAGAGATTTTATTAAAACTTTATATAATGGTTGCTCTAGCTTAGTAAAGTTAGCAAATGGTACGACTGCTTGGTTTGGAATAGATCAGGGTATACGACAAGGAAGTCCACTATCTCTTTCTTAAAAATAATACAGAGGTTCAAAAAGCTGTGACACGTTGAGGAATTTTCACAGGTATCGGGTCTTAAAATGAATATAAACAAGTCTGTACTGTTTTCATTAAAATCATGTGACTTAACAGAAATAAAGGGTATACTCATCAAAACAAAGCCACATATTTAGGAGTTGTTATAGGAAAAGATGTGAATGAGTATAGTATGGTAAATTTTAAGTCTATCCTTAAAAAAAAAAATCTTTGGTTACAGAGAGATCTTTCTTTGAATGGAAGGATTTTGTTATCCAAAGCTGAAGGAATCTCCAGATCTGTTTGTGTATCTTTATCATTAGAAATTCCCCCTAACATATACCAAGATTTAGATAAAGTGTTATTCAACTTCATATGGAAGAATTACTGCATTATTAAAAAAAGGATATTTTATATAATAAGAAAAGTAATGGTGGTTTAGAAGTTTTAAATTATGAAACCTTAAATAATATATTCAAAGTTAATAGTATTTTTAAAGTCAGTCAAGAAAAAATAATATATGGAATACATTTCCAAAGTATTTGTTTAATTTGATGGGTGGTATAGAATTCTTGCTGAGATGTGAATCAGATTGAAAAATTACCTGTTTAACTGTTCAGATTTCATACACAGGCTCTGCTAGCTTGGACATAATTATTATAAGATTATAAGCATACCTTTCCCCTCACAAAATATTATTTGGAATAATAGGAATATTCATTTTAAGAATTAATTCTCTTAAATGCTTAAATGCTGATGGATCTTTGTCGACATATAGTGAATTTCTTAAATTTCTTAATAAATTTGGAGCACATTATTACATTGAGCAGTAGCCGTATTACATTGGATGTTTCAGATGTTATTATTTATTTTTCTATGGGTAGATTAGATGTTAAAGTATTTCTTTTTGTACAATACGTAATTATTATGGGTAAATATCATTTTCATAAGAAGAGACGGTCTGAATATAACCATGAGGTTAAGGAATACGGCACTATTTTAAAATGTATAAATACAAGAAAGCAAAAAGGACTTGGGAATTGTATGATTTATTTAATGTGTAAGTACACCCCTGGCTGTGGTATGTTATGTTGTTGTATACTTCCTGCAATAAAAAACAGAAGAAGTTAGCTTGGTATTTCCAGTATGGATATCATGGCAGACAAAAACAGCGAAGAAGACGATAGTGGAGGAAGTGAGAAACTGATGGGTTTCTTTGCCGGTGTTGTGCCGAATTCCAACTCCCACAGCATTATGCATTGTTATGTGATGTTAGCATTGAACCACATGAATGTTTTAATACAAACAGCTGATATTGCATCTTTTGTTGCAAAGTGCGCCCTTGTTTATTCACAGTATAACAGCATAAAATAATTTGGAAATTGTTAAAATGGCACAAAATATACTTGGTTGGCTGTCAGTATATTTAGGGTGGCCTCCCAAGTAGAGCCTATGCATAGGAGACACTGCATTTGAATCAAACTTCATCCAAATGGATTTTATATTAATGAAAATGTTGGTTTCAAACTTTTAAATAGAGATTCCAAACTGTGTGTTTGAGAAACTTTCTCCTAATGATCTAACGAACATGTGTTTTGGTCAACACAGCTAAGAAGAACCAGCTGATGATGCCCAACAGCTTCACCATGTACATGCTTTCGAGGAAGAGTGATGTGTTTAATCTGGAGCATACCTTAGTCTATCAGGACATGAGGCAACCACTCAGTCACTATTTCATCTCCGCTTCACACAACACCTACCTTACTAAAGACCAGCTTGTGGGCGAGAGCAGCACGGATCCTTACATCCGGTAAAACAACCACGTTTACGTACACAGACACACAAATGCAGCACCTTTGCCAGTAAATTCGCACACCTTTTTCATTTTCTGTTTTTGTGTGTGTGTGTGTTGTGCAGGGCTCTTAGCCACGGCTGCCGCTGTGTTGAGCTGGATTGTTGGGACGGAGATAAGGAGCCAATGATTTACCACGGACACACCCTCACCTCCAAAGTGACTTTCAGAGAGGTGGTGGAGACCATCGCTGAATATGCCTTTAAGGTGGAACAGAAATGTACAACAGAAATTGCTGTATTATTCTTGTTCACAAGCCCACTTGTAGAATAAACGTTTTACTATTTACTTTGCATTGGCACAATTACATAGAGAATTACTGTCTTGCATAACTAAACAGTTGTAGCAGCCTTGAATCTTGAAGCCTAAAAGTCTGTACATTTGTCTGTTTTTACAGTTAACAGTCTGTGTTGGGCACATTACTTGGATGTGATGGCTGAAAACTGAATACACTATTCTCAATGTATTCAGTAAGATATTGCATTACAATACATAAAAAGTACTGTATTCAGAACACATTTAGAATACATCTTGATAAGGCGCAGTGGGAAAACTGTTATAATTTTGTAAAGTCCTTAGTTTGGGCGGCACGGTGGTCCAAAGACATGCGGTCAGGCCGACTGGACATGCTAAATTGCCTCTAGGTGTGAATGTGGATGTGTATAGCTGTCTGTCTGCATATGTGACATCCTCAGTTTTCTTCATGTAATTCTTCTCTTAATATATTTCATGAAAATTTCACTTTCAATATTTATAAAATTCTCTACATTATTTTGGCTCTCAGCACCTGCTTCAGTCCACTGCTGCTCCTGTAATCCCACTGTTGTCTCATGAACTATGCAAACAATGCACCATATCCCAATAACAATATCTTGCAAATTTGAGTATAAAGTGGACAATTGTGTGATTTTACAGTTCATAGCATGTATGTAACTTGCCAGGAAATGCATGCAGGAGTTCAGTACAATACTGATACTAAGCCTACCACTCGAGAGCATGTCCACTACAGAGGAGACATACTGTTCAGTTCCATCATCCCTCAAAAGAGTTCAGAATCTAACTGCAAAAACAGCTTTAAAACAGTTTTAAATTCAGTTTTATTTCATGAAAAACAGTATATATATATATATATATATATATATATATGATATTTATATATATATATATATATATATATATATATATATATATGTGTGTATTCACCTTTTCAACCTATAGCAGAATCCTGAATGCCTCCTGATTTTTCACAGATGATCTGTATAATTTTGATTTTACATATACGTTTACCATTGCTGTGTGATCTGCATGTTGAACTTACAGAATCATGTCTGTGATTTGTTCCCAGTTCTCATGAGTATGTGTAATTAGTTTTGCTCTATGCTGCTCCTGTGTGTGCTCTCCAGGCCTCTCCGTATCCTCTGATTCTCTCTCTGGAGAACCACTGTTCAGTGGAGCAGCAGACCATCATGGCCAGGCAGCTGCGCTCCATCCTTGGAGACAAACTGCTCACAGAGCCCCTCAACGACCAGCTCTCTGAGAGCCTACCCTCACCAGAGGTACTGCACGATTAAATGCATACTGCAATTTTCATACTCATGATCCTGTTTGTCTGTCTGTCTTTATTCCCCATTGTGCTTTCTTGTATTTTCAGCCATTTATAATTATTTATGCTCTTTTTTTCTTGGTTGACTTTCCAGCTTCATTGTATTCTTTTACATTCTGCTTGGCATCATTCTGCCATATTTTCTTATTTTGTCTGTCTTTATAATAGTCAAATGATGAACCTCTGTGCGTGTTCTCTGCTGCTGCGCTCCACTGTTTTAGCGTTATCAATATTATATATAAAAACTCAGTGGACTTGTTGATTCACAGATGATTTTGCAAAATAGTAAATAAAATGTAAATAAATAAATAAACAGTAAATAAAATGGCCGTATTCGTGTTATAGACATTGTGACACTGGTATCGTCCTCCACTATAAAGAAATCTGAGAAAGTTTCTCTACAATGCATCATTCTACTTTTGAAATGACTTTGTTTACATCCCAATGACTGATTTACACAAAAATTTTAAAAATCGATGGAATTCCGCTTTAAAGCACAGAGTAGAATGTAAATGATATATAGGCCAAATGTTAATATAGGCCAAATTGTCATTTCTGACTAATAAGATAATACAATATCCTGTTGGCGGTAAAATGGTAGAAACTTATCAACAAATATCTGATAAAACTGACATGTAATGCTGACTGATGGAAAAAACAATGTACTGGTTATAACTTCTGATTATTGATTTATTTATGGTTTATGACCTAATTAATGACCATTATTAAAAACAATTTTAGACCATTCATAAATCCTTTATAAAAATCCTTCAATTTCAAAAAAATTGAAACTTACCTACCTTCTTTATTTGTATATTGTTTTGCCCTCAGCCCACCACAGACATTGCAGACATCTTCCCCAAGACAGAAAGTCTGGCACCCCGATCTAGAACGTTCATCAGGCGGTCTTAATAATATAAATATTTGATGCCCACACCCTCCCGCCTCCCACTTCATTCATGTGTCATGCCCACCCTCACCCACTTTAAGTTAGTTAATGGAGGTTATACAACTTGCAGGCATTTTGTGATGTGGTTTGTTTTTCTTTGCAACATACTTGCGGCCTTTTGACCACTCACTTCTCCAGTCAGTATTCTCACTGTCTAAGATCATCTCACCTAGCAAGTGACAATACTATCGCATGTAAAACTGCCTTGTGTAGACATCTAAACTGAAAACAAACTGGTAACAATATGTGTTTAAGAGGTCCTGTTTGTATAAGCTAGGTGTTACCCTCTGTTCATGTGGCATCTACTCCAGTACATTATGAATCAGTGTTACAATGCAAACATAGTATTGAGTGTTATCAGCCACAACAATCCACCAACTAGAGACCTCTCAGCCATCACTGCTTATACAAATCAATACTGTTTCTGAATTAGCAGGTGTTCATGTCAATTTGTCTGCCCTGTGAAGATGAATTATTCTTCACTTTTATATAGTAAATTGTATGTCAATTCTCAATCTAAATATTTGCATGTGAGATTAATGGTGTACCTATGACCTGTTTGAGTAAATATTTGAATAAAACTTTTGCAAAATAACTTCTTGAAATACAAAAATGTGCAAAGTAGCAACAGGTTAATGCATGTCAGTAAACAATAAAAATGCCTTTGGCCACTGTGTATCACACCTGGTAGTCCTGGCAACTCTTTCTAACAAACCCTTCTGCACTCTTAGATTTATCAAACAGAATCGCTCATTTGGTGAGAACTTAGGTTCAGAGATGTAATTTTTGTATTTTGGTCTGATATGAATGCTTATGTTGCATTAGGAGCTGAAGGGGAAGATTCTGGTGAAGGGAAAGAAGAAGCAAGTGAAGGAAGAAAGCGTAACTGATTCTAGCTACTCTGAGGACGAGTCTAAAGCTGAGGGTAAAGCCAGGGCAAAGAAAGAAGGCAAGGAGGTGAGTCCACAAGCCCCCATTTACACTACTGCTCAATTGTGTTTTTAATTTAATTATATAAAACCAGACCAGTTTTGTTGCAAATGCATATTATCACTGTTATAAGAAACATTGTATCTTTTAAATCGATGATCACCAGCCCATCTACTGGAGATACTTTCCTGCTTCTCCTCTGTGATCTAACTTGCCTAACACCAATCCTGTCAACTTAATTCTAATAGAAATATGGAGGTGACCCAATCCACCCCCTGAATCTTGTGACCTGAACTTTGCTTTTATTCTTTGCTATTATTATTTATGTCTTTTATATAAAGACAAATTTGAATTCTCTATTTATTAATGTCAATTTTAAAAAGAATATGTCTGACAGTTATTTATTTATTTATTTATTTGCTCAGTCATTTGATACAGATATAGATCGCTGATCTCAATAATAATGTCTAATGTTCAGAAATCCAAGCATGAATATTTTGTCCTGAAAGTTGCACTGTGTTGTATGAGCAGCTTGCATTGAAAGCATTTTGTAATGTCAAACAGCCACAACACAACGATTTTTATACATTGTTCCTCTAGATTTGACTTCACAGTGTGTCATGATGTATTTAGGGGAATTTTCGTTTGCGTATATACACTATTCAGAAGCTGGCTGATTTTGCTTAGCACTCATTTTGGTATGCTTTTAAATGTGAGCACGCAAAATCAGTACTCTGGTGTTTAATGTGAGATGGCTGCATTTGTCAGTAATGAAGAATTTTGTGAAATGAACTTTATTTTGAGAAGGTGAAAACTCATGAGATTTACTTTCATTACCTTTAGACTGTGACAGAGACAAAATTAAAGCGATAATCACTGGTAAACCTTAGAACTTGACAGCTATAGAACATTATACAACAATTAGTTCTGGCCATGTGAGCTGATTGGTTGAGAAGCGTTCTAACCGTGCTGTTATTTCGTCATAACAGCACGTTTTTTTCACAAACACAGTATCACTCTGCTGAGACACTGTTGCTAAGCAACAACTTTGACAGCTGTAGGAGACGCTCAAGCCATTTGAACATTTTTACTTCTTACTTTGCGCAAAAAGAGAAAATGGACACTTTTAAGATCACATTTGACGTAGCAACATGCTGCTTGTTAAGGAACTATAATTTGGCGGAAGGAATTGCTAACATTAAAACATATTAAACGCCGTGTTCACGGCCCAGTTTATTAATTTCTTACTTTATTTATTTAACTGTTGTATAAAAGCAATAGAACACTCGAGGTCATGTGTTATCGCGAATAACATCACGACTGTGATTTGGTTGCACGCACGAGCTGAAGGCGACTCGAGGTCGTGTGGTATCGCAATTAATTTCACCATAACACACTCCCTCTTGTGTTCTTTTGCTTAACTAACACATGTAATGCAGCCAATAAAGGACTTCTGAAGAAGGTAATTGGCTGTGGCAGGTGTGTCAGACTGTGGTTGGACCTAGTCTCTGCAGAAAGGCAGATCTTCAGGACTAGGTTTGGTCACCACTACTTTACATAGTACATATTGTTGAACAGGGGTGTGCAGCTCCAGTCCTAGAGGGCTCTTGTCCAGCATGGTTCAGAGAGTTTCCTGTAAACACATCTGATTGTAACATACCCGACCTAACTTATCTGTTAATTCTGTTAATTGCCAGGTTTAGTGGGTGTGTTTGAGTAGGGAAACTATCAAACTGTGCTGGACCCCGGCCCTCCAGGACAAGAATTTTGCACCCCTGTTGTAGAGGAAGGAAAATGTTCTTAATTTAATGTATGCTAAAAAAATTTTATTCCATGTATTTTTTTACCATTTCTATATGTTAAAAATAAAGCCATGGGGGAAACAACAGAGTGCCATGATGGTGTCAATATTGTAGCATCAGCACAGAGAAAGACACAGGAAAGACTATGCTCCTGCTGCAAGACGTATTCATTTTTTAAATCATCAGTACAAAGGCACATACAAAGCACTTAAACTCACTAAGGAAGTCACCGTTAGCCATGAACTTCACTCTGATGGTGACCCCTCCCCACACACACACAAAACCCACACATCTAAACCCATATCCCAACACAGAATGACATAATAAACACATATCACATACCTTTAATTGATGAACAGCAATAAACAACATAAATAGTCCCTTCTCTGGAGGGCGTACATCTCCAATGATCCTCCTGACGTGACTGCTGTACTATCTTCTAGAGGCCAGCGCCAGCATAAGTGGGCCTTAACTACATATAGAATTAAGCTAATTTGATGGCAGTACTGTGCAACTTCAATCATTCGATCACATAAAATCATTTGTAAGGAATTGTTTAAAAAAGACAAAAAAATCCAGACTTTGAATCCAGTTTCTGATTCTGGATTTTGTAATCCTGGCAGGTATGGGAACCAGAAAGTGGATTCAAGGTTGGAAACTGAAGACCTCTAGTCCAGAAAGAGAAATGGAGCTGCAGATTGAGAGAGCTAGATATGTAGTTCATAATCAAATTATATCAAGAATGACTTGATTTGACAGACACTTTCACAAGAACTTACTTTTAAATAAATAAATGTATGTAAAGTATATTGTATACTTTAAAAAATACTTCATGTTATCTCTACAAAACTCATATCACCAAAGCTTATAGTAAAAATGCTCTTAAATTTATATTAATGGGATAATTCAAATAATAATAATAATCTTAGACCATTTCCATTGGTTCATTCATCATGAAATGAAGTGCTCACAGTTTTTAAATGATAAACTAAAATGATAAACAATGTTTAGATGACAATGCTAACAGAGACATTATGCTGAATAAAACAGCTGAAAGTCTTCTATTACTTAAAAAAGCATTGTGTTAGATATTCCTGAATAAAATAGCAAAAACTATTAATATGACCACAGATTTCAAGTTAGAGTGTCAATAAGTAACAAGTCTGCCCCTTTTGGTGGCTATTTAGGATATCGATATTTTTCAATCAATTCTTTCTGTTTGACTGTGTGTGCATGCAAGTGGGTTTGTGTGTGATTGTGCATAGTGTTCCGCTTGGCTCATTTGGTTCTGAGTTCATTTAACTTCTTGAAGTCTTTTGTGTCCTGCTGTCTGTCTGTGTGTGTTGCTGCATGTCTGTGACTGTCCAATTCTCTTTGTTGAATGTATGTTTCTCATCTGAAGGTGTCTGAGCTGAGTGCAGAGCTTTCTGACCTGGTGGTGTACACTCACAGTGTCTCCTTCAAAAGCTTCGAACAGGCAGCCAAGAGTCCCCCCAATGAGATGTCCTCCTTCTCTGAAAGACGGGCCCTCAGACACATCAAAACGTCAGGTACCTTATGTGTGTCAAGTACCTTAAAGTTACAATGCAAAGTTGGTCTAAGACTATACTATAATAATAATCAATATGTACATTTCGAGTATATATTATTTTATGGTGTGTTTTACAAAATATGTTCTAAAATATAATATTATTTATTAATATATGGTGTATAATAAATAATAGTGAATTTACACTGAACTACAAACAAAATTTATTTTTTCCCCTTCTTTTTCCTTCTGAAAAAAGTGTTAATCTGGTCTTGGTCTTGACTTTGACTCGACTACTGCATAGTCTCAGTCTCAGACTCGATATGTCCAGGTCTTGGTCTTGACTTGGACTCGCTTCTAGTGGTCTTGAATACAATACTAGTGTGTGTACTGATTTTTCTGTCTTTAAGACACACAGTGGACACATTTAAAGCCCAAAAATAATAGTTTTGAACTTGTATGTCCTGTTTGCAGAATTTGCTACGTGAGCTCATGTGCTCTCAACTTCAGGTTTAGTAAAGTGCTAGCTTAGCTTCAGCCAAGGCATGTTTGGTGTCTAGTTTCCTTCTTTAGCAGGGTTCGCACTGCATTTTTGGAATGCTGTAATGTGTGGTGAGTAATGAGGCTGGATATAAGCGTAAGCAAACTTTAATGACCAAAACAAACTAGTACAAACACTGAGAAAGATACAAAATAACAAACTAGAAGGTTTTTAACCAGGAAACAACTAGAGTAAATAAACAATGGGGAGACACATAACACTACATGTAACAACATAATGCAAAATAACGTAGACTAGACAACGAAGGACTGAAACAAAGGGCTTGATATAGCTATAAGCAATAGGGAATACCTGGGAGAGGAAGGAGACATGGACTACAACCAGGTGAGAATCCTATTAGGGAAAGCAGGAACAGGGACGGGGCAAGCAAGCAAAACTAAACACAAGCACAAAACTTGCTGTTACTGAGCATTAGCGCCATCATTAGCAATCAGCTGGGCTATCAGTTAGTTGGGCTAGCTGGCTGTCATTTTGATGTGATGTTTAGAAAGATGTCACTCTCAGGGCACCTGGAGCCACCCTGGGTGCCTCGCATTTTTTGCACCCACCAGCGTCTTTTTTGTCCTAAGGTAAATACAAAAGGTTGTGTCCTAAATTAAATACAAAAGTTCTTAAAGCATTCAACTAGACCTCAAAACCAGCAAGCAAAATACATCTGTCTCAGTGAAACAGAAAAAAGGTGGCTTCATCCTCAAAAAATGTATACAATGTGAACACCCCCTTAGTTTTGCCCTGGAACTATGAGGCTAATGTTACTAACCAGTAATGGAAGCTTATACCCCCACCAATTTGCAAACTGCATACATAAATCATTATACACTTGCCTCAAACTATGTTGACTTGTTATGTATTCTCAAATAGACTTGCTTTTGTGGTTTCTATAAAAATGAACAAATGGATGGTGCATAGCTTAAAACTTTAGTTTTAAGCCGCGGGCTTTAGTTTTGCCCGTTTTCTGCCTGACAGTATGTCATACAGTGGCAGAAAGTCTATTTGAGATTACTTAAGAACTCAGCTTGGTTTGGGCCAAGTATGTGATGACTTACGCAAAAGGTTTACATGATGCTAATTGTTGGGGTATAAGCTGTCATTAATTGTAGACTAGCTTCAAAGCTCCATTTTAAAACTAAAGTAGCCGACTCTGGACACCAAGCATTAGAGGTAAGAGAAAACTCTTTAAAACTGCTTTTCACTGAGAGATGCAAAGTTCTGCAAGACACACCTCAGCATGCACATTACCGAGCACTGCATGCATTTTCATTAGATCCTCTGTTGTTTCCAGGGGTGTCATTTGTACGGCATAACAGTCAGCATCTGAGCAGGACCTACCCATCTGGTCAACGCCTGCAGTCATCCAACTACAACCCTCAGGACATGTGGAATGTCGGTTGCCAGATTGGTAAACTTGAGTTCAAATGAATCTGAAAGAAGCATACAAATATAGCAAAGTGTAGAAATGGCATTCCAGCTAAATCCATCCATATAACTCATTGTCTCCTGCAGTGGCTTTGAACTTCCAGACTGACGGGGAACAGATGGATCTAAATCGGGGACGTTTCTTACCCAACGGTCGCTGTGGGTATGTGCTAAAGCCCAGCTTCCTGTGCCAGGCTGACTCTGAGTTCAACCCTGACAACCCAGGTGGAGGACCAGGACACAACCCCACTCTCCTCACCATTAAGGTTAGGGCACTGTGCCAACTCTTACAGTGATTAAAGTGATAGTTCAACGACAAATTAAATTTATGCTATTTTACCCTTTCCCCATATGTAGTCAAACAGCCAAGACATGTCTGGTGTCCAGAGCTTTTTTACATTTGCACTGGAGCTACAAGGCTAATATAGCTAACAAGTATTGGAGGTCTTTACAGGTATACATACTTGCCTCAAACAGTGTTGGCTGTTAAGTAATCTCTACAAGATCTACTGACTAGACACTAGCATGTCATTCAGTTTCAGCAAAGAATATGTGCAGATTACTCAACAGCTCGATGTGGGTTGAGATGAGTATGTGATGACTTAGACAAGCAGTTTGTACAGTGCTAACTGAAGCATTATAGGTTTCCATTATTGTTAGCTAGTCTCACAGGATAATGAGATGCCTGGGAACAAATTGGTACCCTCTAAGTGCTGGATTGCAGCAAAATCTGCTGTTAACAAAGGTATGCCCCCTGTAAAAGAGAGGAGCTCAGTCCTTGAATGGCATCTGGCAACAAGAAGCGGCCACTCCGCTGTCCAAAAATGGTGCGTACTGACATGCCACTAGGTGAATAGAACCTGCCATCAGTAAGTGGTAACAAGTGACACTTGCCACTCACGTCGCTTGGTTAGTGGCACTCGCCAGTGGCATCTGCAACACAGAAACGGTGTATGCCACTCAAAACAGACACATACCAACAGCTCCTGTGAGTAAAGCAGTGATTATTGGCAGCGGCTACTTGGCTAGCCTAGCTAGCAGCACATCATAACACCACCATCGATAAAAGTGACGGAGGAATCGATTTGAAGACTTTGTTCAGATTTGCATTTCTCCAAACACTTGACACACTATAACAAGTGTGTTCAATTTTTTTATTTGAATTTTAATTTAATTTCTCCTTTACATTACTTTTTTAATCATAATTTGAATTATCTTTGTATTGTATGATTGGTTAAGCAGTTTGAATATCCGCAGTGTATGAAAGGTGCTATATAAATAAACTTGCCTTTTCTTCCCACCCACATTTATCCCAATGGTTCTTATGTTTGTCCCCAGATGTTCTGGTTACCTGATCATGAAGACTGTTTGTTAACTAGATTAGCCTTGAGGCTCCAGTGCAAAACAAAAGAAGCAGACGTAAAACATCAAACATGTTTTGACTGACTACATTTTGAGTAGGAGGAATTGTGTATAGTAGATTTTTTGCCCAACTATTACTTCCACTGTGATGCCATAGCCTGCAAATTCACTCTTCTCTCTTATTTTGGAATAAACAGCTCAAGCAGAGGTGAATCATGCCCTCCGGAATGTTATACCAACAAAGATGTTGTGACCCACCCAGAATGAGCTGACAGAATTATGTCTTGTCACTGAAGTGATATCTGAGGCAGGTTATGTCTGGTTGGCGCCAATAACTCAATCTGTGTTTAGTAACAAGAGGAAGGACAGATCAAGGCTAAAGCCAAACAACAGAGTAGCCTACAAGCTAGAATATAAACAGAAAGTTGAAGGAATTGACTTCAGTCTTTTCCACAAAACATCTCAAAGACCAGTATGTTTATAGGGACTATAATACTGTTTGTTGTGTTCCAGGTCATCTCAGCCCAGCAGCTGCCTAAGCCAGACACAGAGAAGCTGAACTCCATTGTAGATCCTCTGGTGCGGGTGGAGACCCATGGGGTTCCCATAGACAATAACAAGAAAAAGACACACCGAATTGACAATAATGGTAATTGTTCTAAAATCAAGGGTGTTAGCAGTAACAGCCTCTACTCATCTGGAAGACTTTACAGTAGATGTTGGAAATTGGCAATGAGTATTTGATTGCATTCAGCCTCGAGAGCATTAGGGGAGTCAGGTATTGATGTTGGATGATTAGTTCTGGGTTCAAACACCACTCTAACTCATCCCAAAGGTATTAGAAGGAGCTCCATCACTTCAGAGAACACAGTTCCACTGCTCCACAGCCCAATGCTGGGGGCTATGGTGCTTTAGGCTGGTGTGCAGCTGCTTATAAGCAGTGTTTTTTTTTCTGTGGAGATTATACAACTGGTGTATATGTAATTGAATGCTTCTGTAAAGTAGCTGAATTCACCAATTAAAAGGGATTTCTGGATCCAAAGCTATTTAAACCCAGAGTCTTATTTTAGCCACACTCCTGCATTTTAGAGCAGGAGCTGAGACTGCATCTCTGTTCCTCATGGCCACATGGTAAGCAGTTAGATCCCTTTGTTTTGAAGTATATTCTTCCAGATTCTGAAAATCAGTGTGGAACCTTAATGACTATTGACTACTGAAACAAATATTTTTTGCAAATATTTTGTATTTTAATTTAAAAAATCAGATCTTCTGTGTGTATAACTGTTCTAAGCTGTGTTTGCTTGTTATGTACTGGCTAGCATTTCTGAGTTCTGCTCAAAATAAGCTAAAATTGTCACTACTGAAACAAAATAGAATCTTCAACCCTTTGTTTTAATAAAATTAACATAATTTAGGGTCACTCAAAAAGATTTTAAGTCCTAGTTGTGTTTTCACTTCTGACTTTGAAGCAATTGGGTAGAATGATCCATACATCATAATGTAATACTGTAATGATTACATTACAATGTTTTAATTTTCTCTCTCTCCTGTATTCTGTTTGTTATTCCATTGGGTGTGTGCGAGTTCTTTTGTCCTTTGTGTTTTCACCCAGGCTTTAACCCCAGGTGGGACTGCACCTTAGAGTTTCTGCTACATGTGCCTGAGCTGGTCCTGGTTCGCTTTGTGGTGGTGGACCATGACCACACTTCCAGGAATGATTTCCTGGGTCAGTTTACACTGCCTTTCACCAGCATGCGCACAGGTCTGCACCTCTTTGTTAATTTAGGCAGTAATAGTGGGCAGAATGGCCAGAAATTCACAGTATAATTACATTTTCTGATGGTTTCAGTAATATCAGTGTATAGTGTATAGTGCACAGTGTATTTATATATACCTTTGAATAAAAGCATTTAAAATGCTTAAATAATCTATTCTTGTAGATAACCAGTGGATCGTTTTTTATTTTTTATTGATTATTGGGATGTCCCCTTACATTTACATAACTTGTTTTTAATCATTAAATTAAATCTGATTTTTTTATTGTACAAAACAGTGAAAGCATAACTGAGGAATATATAGATATATAATAGCAATATATAGTTAGTATTACTTTCTAACACTAGCCCCAAACAAAATAGTGCTAGATGTTTATTCATGTCTGAATTTCTACAAATTGTAGTTGGCTCCTTAGGCAGCTTTTTGTTTACATTTTCCGTTCCACCCTAAGTGGAGCAGTATTTACATTGTGGCACCTGTACAAGCATCTAAAGGTAACTGCCGCACCATTTCAGGTGGAAGAGAAAAGCCAACTTTTGCTTTGTCGAATGGCTTTGTGAGTCTCATACTTGTGCCTCTGACTGTCAGACACTGCTGGAATTTGTAAAATATTACACTCATTTGCACTATCAGTACTAGCTGGTCTACATCTTGTTTTATGGACAAGGTCTGATGCAGCTGACCAAGTCAGGCGTCTCCTCAGCCAGGCCTGCAATTCCTCTGCCTCGAAAACAAAGTGGACTATTTCAGATGCTACACAGCAGGAGCCCACTACAAATAGGCAGGGGTTAAGTTGTAATTTAGATGGTGGTGAAACTTTTTCCAAATGCATTAATGTTAGATTTACGTAGATAATGTAGCTAGCTAGGCTTGCTAACCACGAAGCCACAACCCTACACTATGGACATACCAACTAGCTAGTTAGCTAGTTCTATTTACATAAACAAAAATGGACATCATGAAGGCTGAGTTAAAGGTAATCACTGCATATATTAGTAAATGCTTCAGCTAAGTGGACTTAAACAATGAATTCCACTCAGGTCATGATTAAAAATTATTTTGTGTATGCAGTCATGCATCTCTTGCTTCACACAACATCTACAAGCCCACCTCTGTACTGGCAGGTTTTACAGTACAGGCAATAAATGGTCCTTGATGTTTCCTCTGAAACTGATTGCTTCTTATTTTTAGACGCAAAACACTTTATGGACCTGGCTTGTTACTTACTCACTCCCTCTGTCACCTCCAGATGAAGATTCTTCAAAAGACAGAGCCATTGGCACATAAGGAGCGTTTGGTGCTCATAAAACATATAAACCCCAAAATGTTGCGCATTAAATCTGCCACTAGAGAAGTCAGACTGTGTTCACAAGGACCTTTTGATACCCATCAAAAAACTGGTTTGTCATTCGTTTGTTGAGAGTGCTCTATTAAATATGGAAACTTTCAACATAAAACCTACCACGACGATAGGACATAATGTCGGGTTTATTCGCAGAGAAAACAGAAAGGCTACTGCTGAAACTCATGAAAGCCCTGCTGAAAATGATTAGAACCGATTATCAAAAACTGTAATATTGATTAAAATAGAACTCTTTTTTTTTTTTTCAAACAATGAAGCAAAAATATGCTATTTTAATTAACTGTTTGTTGTCATACTGAACCCTTTAGAGCTGGATTGTACAGCTCTGGATGTTGGATGCTGACAGCAGTCATTCATGTCTCGTCCATTTGGTCCCACCCCATGACGTCCCCTATTGACTGACACATAAACATGTCAAAGTTATCTTTGTCCTTTGTCCGTTATCATAAAGTAAACGCATAATAGTATTCCAAAACTGCATTATTAATGAAGAAGAGCAGAAATTAAATGGCAGCGGCCTTAAAGGATTAAGAGTGGTGCTTCACATATACTGTGTATTGTTGTTTCTGTGATGCAGCAACAACGTGGTTAATGTTTCAGTTCACTTGCGCTGCAGGTAAAATTCTCGAGAAGATTGGCAGAAGATTTTTCTCACCCTCTAACTTACCTAGAGAGTGCAATACCCAAATTTTGGATTGCCCTGGCCCAGTTTAACCCCTGACAATAGTATAGAGCATGTATATGCCCTCTGGTCACACTAATGCTGGAGGTCCACCAGCATGTACCAGCCTCCTTTAAAGTGACAGCACTGACTGTATTTCTGTCCTGCAGGTTACAGACATGTGTGGCTACTGAAGGCTGACGGTTCCAGCCTCTCTCCTGCCAGCCTCTTCATTCATGTGAAGGTCACACCAAATTACAGCAGCTCTGAATGTGCTGCATCAACCAAAGCCAGCAGAAAACAAAAAGTACAGCCATAATGCCTCTGGATATATGAAACAGTTGTTGCCACTGATTTACTGTAATTATTACCTTATACTGTGTAACATGTAGGTCTTTGTTCAGTCTTTAATGATCACTCAGTGAAATCACCCAGTGAGAGACCAAGTATGACAAACTTCAGAGAATATTCACAACAGAAGTTAACTTAGTAGTTTTAACTCTATACAACCAAAGGCTTTTTCTGGCTCTAGCATGCGTCAGGGGTCTTGCATGCCTGTATGAAGAAACTTAAAAACTGGTCAAAATATTTGTAAAATAATCGTATAATGTGTCTTTAAAAATGCTGAAGCAATGTAGTAGACTGACTTTTAGTTTTTAGTTTTTGCATCATATTTCAAATGTAGCTTAAACTAATAATTATCATTTTAACTAATTTAGACTTCTTTTCCTGTGCTGCTGAAAAATTCCAGTGTCAAGGTTCTAGTTGTTTAGCCAGAATCTGCTGAGTTTGACAGGCTTGCTGCTAGAAGCATGTACAAAATAAATTCATGCTGCATATTACACTCACGTCTCGTGTTTAAAAAGATGTAAAAGTTATAAAAGAAGCACTAAAAATTCAAATTCTTGCATTTTTATTGCTAATAGCATGAATCTAATCCCTCCCATTCTTATTGGGCAGCTACACCTTTTGGATTATATAGCTAACTGGGAAATTCCATTTTGTTAAACTAATACATTGTAAATCTAATACATTTTAATGTAACAGGTCTTAAGTGTGTCAAAATTTTGCATACCACTATATGTGGAAATGGAAAGTATGGAAAGTTGGAAAGTTTTGTCAAACTTTTGCACATGGTATATGGCCATGTGTTATTATTAATCTATAAAGTAATTAAGGTTTGGTAACTGCTGAAAGTTTTATTTTGTAGCTCAGGTCCTGTTTACTCTTTTACCAGCATTGTGCAACTGCTTCATATAACTGTATATGTATTACTAGAGTGAAGCCACACATAAGTATGTTTTACTGTTATTTTTCTTATGTGTTTTTTCCAAGGTTAGATTTTAATACAAGTTATAGAAGCTATTCTTCTTACGATGTCCTGTTTATGTTTATGACTTATACAGTCCATAGTGTAATTTATTTTGGATATATTTTTAAAAATTACCAAAACGTTCTTTGACATTAGAAATCATACTGTGTGTTGTGTATCACATTGCCATGCCTTGTTTTAATAGGTCTAACTGTGTTCGTCTTAACTTTTTCTGTATATAAAAAAAAGACTTTATTGGTAAAAAGGGAAACAGTGGCTTATTTGCACTGTTGTAAGTCAGATGATGATGTCTATTATGAGCTGTCAGACTGCTTGTTACATAACATAAGGGAATCTGGCCTGCAGCATGTCTGAAATAAATACTGCCTGTAAAACTTTCACGTACTGTAATGTCAAATATCATTTCTCTCCAGGCATCTAATTTTTTTTTGTTGTTGTATGTCATTGGAGGAGTGTGTGAATTCACATTGTACCATGTATCATTCAAACATCCTCTGAGGGCAGATCAGAATGTTATGACAATGTCTTCATTTAATAATAAAAATGAGTGTATGTTGTTTGGTTTATGTTCAATTGACTTTAGGTGAAGATTCAGAAGGGACAGAGAATAACCTCACCATCATTTACATCCAAAAGTTACAGTGCAAAGTTGGATTAAGACTATTTTGTATTACCAGCTACAAAAGTACACCCCCCCAGACAATTGGTGATCGTCGGTTGGCTGATGAGCTTAACACCATTTACTGCAGGTTTGAAAAGCCCAGCTCCACATACCCATTCAGCACAGATTCACACCCTCCTGTCATCCAGCCATCTATTCAGCCTGCCCTGAAGATCTGCGAGAGGGACGTGCATCGACTCTTCAGGAGACAAAAGTGAGGAAAGCACCAGGACCAGACGGTGTATCACCCTCCTGTCTGAGGGCCTGCACCGATCAGCTCGCGCCAGTCTTTATAGCGCTCTTTAACAAATCACTGGAGCTGTGTGTCGTACCTTCCTGTCTCAAACGCTCCACCATAATACCAGTTCCCAAGAAAGCAACCATCACAGGATTGAATGACTACAGACTTGTTGCTTTGACCTCTGTGTTCATGAAATCCTTTGAGAGACTGGTGCTCACCCATCTGAAGAACATCACAGATCCTCTGCTAAACCCCCTGCAGTTTGCATACCGGGCAAACAGGTCAGTAAACGAAACAGTGAACAAGAGACTCCATCTTATTCTCCAACAGCTTGAACACCCGGGAACGTATGCAAGAATTCTGTTCTTGGATTTCAGCTCAGCTTTTAAAACGATCATCCCAGGACAGCTACACAACAAACTGCTCCAACTCAGCGTGCCAACCCCTGCCTGCCAGTGGATCACCAACTTCCTCACTGGCAGAGAGGTGAGGTGGGAAAGTTCACCTCAAACACCTAGATCATCAGTACAGGCGCTCCACAGGATTGTGTACTTTCACCATTGCTCTTCTCACTGTACACTAACGACTGTACCTCCACAGACCCCTCAGTCAAAATCTTGAAGTATGCAGATGACACTACAGTCATTGGTCTCATCTGAGACGGTGACGAGTCTGCGTACAGACGGGTGGTTGATCAGGTGGTCGTTTGGAGCAGCCACAACAACCTGGTGCTGAATACAGAGAAAACAGTGGAGATGACAGTGGACTTCAGGAGGAGCCCACCAACCCTGCCAGCACTCACCATCCTGGACAGAACTGTGGTGGCAGCTGCAAGTTCCTGGGCACAACAATCACCAGGGACCTGAAGTGGGACAGCAACATCAGCTCTATCATCAAGAGAGCCCAGCAGAGGATGTACTTCCTGCATCAGCTGAGAAAGTTCAACCTGCCCCAGGAGCTGATGGTGCAGTTCTGCACAGCCATCATAGAGTCTGTCATCACCACGTCCATCACAGTGTGGGTTAGCTGAGCCACCAAGCATGACCTCCACAGACTGCAGCACATCATCAGGTCTGCAGAGAGGACAATTAGGTTAAGTTACCCACATTGCTGGAACTGCATGCCTCCAGAACCAGGAAGCATGCAGAGAAGATCTCCACTGACTTGTCACACCCTGGATACCACCTGTTCCAGCTCCTTCCCTCAGGCCGGCGCTTCAGCCAGATGAGGATCAGGACATCCAGGCTACATAGGAGCTTCTTCCCACAAGCCGTTACTCTCTTAAACAGTTAATTATTACACATAAACAATATTCCAGCTTCTAAACTGCACTTCTACATATACTGTGGTGTCACACTGAACTCCATCCTCTGAAACTACCGTCTCAAACCAGTGTTTATTCTAGCATCTTACTTACCTGCCTTATTACCCCACTTATCTGACTGTCACCTCACTGAACCTTTCTTTGCCACTATACACCCTTTAACTGCTGCTGCACTCAGCACTTTAACTTTAGACTCATACTTTGCACAATGTAAAGGTTACAGATATGACTGTGTGTGTGTGTGTGTATGAGTGAGTGATGGTAGGAATGCATGTTTATTTTTATTTTGTGTTTTAGTATTTTTATTTCATTGTATTTTATTTTATATTTATTTTATTTTATTTTATTCTATTCACTACATGTAAATGTTAGTCTGATACTATGTACTCTGAGCTCCTGTAACCAAAACCAAATTCCTTGTATGTGTAAGCATACCTGGCCAATAAAGTTTGATTCTGATTCTGATTCTAATCTTAATCTGGTTTTGGCTTTGTCTTGAGCTTGACTATTACAAAGTCTTGGTCCTGTCTCGATGTGTCAATGTCTGGGTCTTGACTCTCACTCACCTTTAGTGGGCTTGACTTCAACACTACTGAAGCTAGTACAAATTACAAGCTATCAAGACATTAAGTAAATGAGGAATTTATGGTCACAATTTCAATTAATGTTCAAAAGCCTTTCATAATTCACACAGTAAACCAGCTACTTCATTGAACAGCTTTTATGCTTTCAGTTTTCAAAGGCTATTTTGAAACTGGATGTTGTTCTGTGCCCTATAATAAAACAGAGGTTCTACTTCTTGGTCCAAAAGCAGCTAGAAACAAACTGTCTAATTTTACACTTAAACTTAACAATTTCTCAGTTGCATCAAGCTCATCTATAAAAAATCTTGGTGTCATGATAGACCCTGATCTGTCCTTCGACGCACATATAACTAATATTACTAGAACAGCCTTCCTGCATCTCCACAATATTGCTAAATTGAGAAATGCATTATCTCTACAGGATGCAGAAAAGTTAGTTCATGCATTTATTACTTCAAGGCTAGATTACTGTAATGCCCTGCTGGCTGGATGTCCGAGCAAAAGCCTTAACAAGCCTTCAGCTATTCCAGAATGCTGCAGCCCGAGTTCTTACTAGAACCAGAAAATTTGACCATATCAGCCCAGTTCTATCAAACCTACACTGGTTACCAGTTAAATTTTGCATTGATTATAAAATTCTTTTACTGACTTATAAAGCTCTAAACGGACTCGCCCCTCAGTACCTGAGTGAACTTCTCTTCCATTATGAACCATCACGCCTACTTAGATCACAAGGTGCTGGCTTACTCTTAGTACCCAGAATTAATAAAGTTACGTCAGGGGGGAGAGCCTTCTCATACAAAGCCCCCCAGCTTTGGAATAATCTTCGTATGAATGTTCGGGACTCAGACACAGCCTCAGTGTTTAAGTCTAGGCTAAAAACTTACTTGTATAGTCAAGCCTTTGGTAATTAGTTTTCCCTGTCGGTTCTATACCTGCCAGAGTCTCTGCTGCTCTGCTAACACTTTAATCTGTGATCAGTCACCCATTACAGAACTGACTCTCTGTGTGTTTTTCCTTTCTTTCTTTTCTTTGCTAAGTTGAACAGCTGCCCATCCTGTGCGCCTGATGCTGCTGCCTCTTCTGCCTTGATCGGGTGTCACTGTTGCCAGCCCTCTGGACCAGCTTACCACCATTGAGTTTCATGCTGTACAACGCCGTGCAAACCTCACCCTCACATCCTGACCCCACTGATGCT